CCTGTGAAGTTTTGATGAAATTATAAAAAAAAGACACACAAACATGATCCCATATATAAATGAACAGACACACATATACAATATATATTTATAATATATATATATATATATATATATTTATCCATATTTCTAAAAATAGGAATGTTTTATTGCAAATTTCATTGAATATATTTTTTATTTTTTTTTTTATATAATTACTCATTTGATCAAATAATCTTAATACTTTTCAGATGATAAATTATATAAAAACTGTTTGAATGTTCTCCACCTTTCTGACTATAGCTCAATTAGATCTCATTTAAATATTCATGGAGGCCTACCGGACACTATTTGTAACATACTTGTTGACAACACTAATATAACAGCATCATCTACATGCAAAAAAAGGCTAAAAGTAATGGAAGCCTTATGAGTAAAAACAAAAAACCAACACTGAATAATATTAACTTTGAACATGGACACAATGTCTTGACTGTGTTTTTGAAAAATAAAACATTTTATAAAAATACATACAACAAATTATTTTTATTTAACAGTTAAAATATTTAATCTTGAAAATGGCTAAATGTATAGCTGAAAGCGCTCAGAAAAAAAAAAACATTTGGACAGTTTTTTATATAATTTATCATCTAAAAAAAATAAATTATTAGATCACATGGGAAATTGTATAAAAAAGTAAATAAAACCATGTTGTCTGTCATATTCAATGAAATGTGCATATATATATATATATATATATATATATATATATATATATATATATATATAATCCTTGTTTTAGGTGAAAATTAAAACCTTATATTTCTCCCCAATTTAATTAGAATTTTTATTACTGCTTTTTACCTAGTAAAATGAAATGGAAATATATAATTAATTATTATTTAGATTCAACATGATGAAATTCCTTTATAATTTACAAAAATTAAAATAATTTAAAAGATTTCAAAGTTAGATGCTAAAAAGTTTTTTTGCAACTGGAATTGGAAATTAACACAAATTAAATATATTGCCTGTATAGTATATTAACACACTTAACTCTATGTAGTTTTGTCAATAACACAATGTATGAAGAAAAACACATTTATTTTGTATGACAAATATAATTTTTAACATAATCCTCATTAATACACTTGTAGTGGACAATTGGGTGATGAGTATGTATTGTAGAAGAACACATGTGGGTAGAATTTCCTGCTAGCCGGTCCAACCACATGAGAATGTTGGAATTTAATTAAGTCCAAAGAAAACAAACAAGACCGATAATTATATACAAACAAATATATGTATTAATAACAAGTACAAGTTACAAGCACATGGACAGTTACATTGAGTGCGTGTGGTGAATATTATGTGTGTGTATTGTGGTGAGTATTCGTACGTACGTGTATTGTTCTTAGCATGTTCCCAGAATTTGGGAAATGCTGTATCTGTGAGAGCTCACATCTGTGAGGTGGTATAAGGCCCAAGGCCTGAGGAAAAAAGAGCTCAAGGCGAATGGTCAGCCAGTATTTATAGCCAGGGGAGAGAGACCCCTGTTGAAGGATTAAGGAACTGCGGTGGAGCTAACTCCGACACACTTGTAGTAATATTCAAAATCTAATAATTAAAATAGCTATTATGTAAAGATTTCAGAGGCAGTTAAAAAAGCCACATACAAAAAAAGAATCAACACACATATATATATTCAAATGACTGGCCCTAGGAAAAAGTCATTTTTTTTTAATAATAAAGTTCACCTAATTCAAAGACTGAAAACCATTCAAGGTAAAGGGTTATTATTAAATTGATTGTGGTGAATGACGTGTGTGGTATAAATAAAAGAGGAGGTGGTAGGAAGTAAAGATTATGTGGATGAGGAGAATAGACAATGATTGACCCTTGACTAAAGGTTAAGATTTTGTTGTTCAGGGAAACATCCAAGTGGAGTTTGTTCCACAAAGTATTCATTCTTGGGGAAAAAAACCTGTCTGAGTGAAACTTTCTTCTTATGAAATACAGATGAAATGAGGGTGATTTAACTCTGTGGAAATAGAATGGTGTGTTCTAGTTGTAAAGATTTGAACCGTTGAAACTAAAGAATGAAGTTCATCTGAACATTTGCCATGGAAACAGTGATATACTAGTAATAGGCTTGCAACATTGCACTTATGGGAAAATAAGTCTTTCATCACAAAACCATGCAGATATTTGGTGATGTTTATGATGTCTAGGAAGACTCAAATAGGGGGGGGGGCTTATAGGACCTATTACTGATAAATGTAAGAAAGGAAGACATTTTAAATATGAAAAACACTTTATTCAAATTAAATATAAAGTAAATTTTTATTTCACTCTTTGAGTGATTGCCCTCATGATATGGATGCTCAGGGCTGTTGCACATTCTGCCCTCCCCTTCTGCATGCTACTGAAACCATGTAAATGATTTTGAACTCTATCAATACTGGAATGTGAAGATTGAGCAGCTCTGTTCCAGGTATGGCAGCAACATTCCATTTTTGGTTTAGTCTGACTCTTGTAAAGATAAAGCATGATAGAAATCACATACTTCCTGGAGTGATAGAATGAGCTAACCATTTTTCCAGCTACTAAAATAAATCTAAAATAAGATTCAAAATGTGTGGATGTAGAGTAGCAAACATATCACAAGTCGTAAGAAGAGAACTTTCAATCAATCAATGTTGATTTGAGTAAATTCAAAAATCTTCAAGTTTGTATCAACCTAAAAACAAATATGATCCTTTGCACCAGATTATGGCCAACAAACTCTATAATAGCAGCTCATTTATTCAAATCTACTCTAAAGAGATAAGTGAAATGGCCAGAGATCAAAAGATTCACTGACAAGTGAAAACTACATGCCAATTTCCCTAAGTCAATACATTTGTATTTCTTATTCTGTAAATGGTGAATAATGACATTTCCAAAATGTATGAACTTTCTCTCATGTCCATTCTACAAGCATTTCAAATTCATAGGAAAGCTCAACTCACACACACCTGTACATACAAAACCTTTGTTGAAAATAATGTATATATATATTACAATTTTAAATTTTACTGCTATTATTGAAAATTTATTTATTATATTAATAATGACTACAAAAAAACTACTAATACTACTGTATACTTAAACCAGTTTCTTCATCAATCATATAGATCAATCATTATACAGTAAAAATCACATATAAAATTTAAGTTGTATCAAATTATGGAATTATTGATCTCTCTTTATAAGTGAATGAAATAAATGATATTTATGTTTGCTATGTAAATAATGTCGTACAAAATCATTTTCCTCATTCATTTGCCTAAGATTCATTGCATAATATCAATACATTACAATTTATTTTAAAAAAATAAGAATGTAACTTTCAATACCAACTTCAAAGTAAAATTATTTTTCATTAAATGTCTTATTAAGACTATGTGAAATTTAAAAATTTTATCAAGGCTTGTATTTTATTAGAACATGCTAATTTTATAAATAAAAGCATGCTAATTTTATAAATAAAAACAAGCTAATTTTATAAATAAAAGGATGCTAATTTTATAAATAAAAGCAAGCTAATTTTATAGATAAAAGCAAACTAATTTTATAAATAAAAGCATGCTAATTTTATAAATAAAAGCATGCTAATTTTATAAATAAAAGCAAGCTAATTTTATAAATAAAAGCAAACTAATTTTATAAATAAAAGCAAACTAATTTTATAAATAAAAGCATGCTAATTTTATAAATAAAAGCAAGCTAATTTTATAAATAAAAGGTGAAAATAATTTGAAAACTTGTTGAATGACTTAATTATGTCTCATCAAAATGTATCACAAAACTGGCATTTTTTCATTTTTTTATGAAAATGTCATACATAATTATTTGCTCAGCCATGGCACCTCAAGAAAGATTTCCTTGTTAAAAAAAAAAGAAAGTGACACCAATTCAGTCAGGTTTCAATCCTAGCTAGAGGCAACCAGACGTCTAGCCACACTGATGTTTTGCTGTATCACAGCTCATCAGTGTGGCTAGATTTGTCTATATATTTCTCACTGCTATATATATATATATATATATATATATATATATATATATATATATATATATATATATATATATATATCTTAATGATTCAACATCATCACTTGATAAGATTTGAGAGTGTTGAAACAAAGTGGCTATTTTTGTAGTGATTTTATAACATGTTTATGCTATAAATTTTCTAAATAAATGATTATATATATATATATATATATATATATAATATATATATATATATAATGTAATATATATATATATATATATATATATATATATATATAATAATATATATATATAATGTTCGTATATATATATATATATATATAATGTATATATGTATATATATTTATGTATATGTATATATATATATAATGTGTGTGTTTGTGTGTGTGTGTATATATATATGTGTGTCTGTATGTACATAGTGTGTGTACGTATATGTGTGTGTATGTATAAAATTATATATATGTGTATGTGTACGTATCTATACGCATGTATGTGTACGTATGTAGATTTGTGTGCGCACGCGCGTGACATGTGGGACAAAACAAGAATACACGTAATTATTGCAGGTTATAACATGCGTGCACGTCATCAGCTGTGTAGCCGATCTTGTCATTGTTGTTACCCCCTCTTTGGCCTGCGAAATCTCCTGTGTAAAAGAGACAATACTTCGATCAACACAATAGGCAAATACTTTCAGTTAAGTAACAAATATACTATTTGCTATATTTAGTAATCACTTAAACATTTATTGGAGTGCTTTTAAAGAAAGCAAAGAAAGACTGCATGATTAGAAGTGGCGTAATGTTGCTTAAGAGTAAGAGCTTCATTTAGTCGACCTTCCGGCTCAGTTGAGGGTGTGCCTTTTGTTGTTATTGTGTGTATGCAGTTTTGAGTAGACCTTTTTTTCTTTTCTTTTTTTTTTTGCTTTTATGTAAAGTGTCAAAAAAACAAATAAGGACAAGATGACAGCAAGAGGCATCCGCAAGAAACAGAAGGCTGTGTCTCGTTCGGCTAAAGCTGGTGTGCTGTTCCCGGTGGGTCGGATGCAACGGTATTTGAAGAAAGATACACACAACTTCCGTATCAGTGCAGGTGCGCCGGTCTACATGGCCGCAGTCATCGAGTATCTAGCTGGTAGGTACTAAACTAGTCTTGGAGGAAAAAAAAAAAGATCAAACTGTTATCTACCATTTAACAACAATTAAAGAAAACTATTTCTTATTTTTTACTATTTATGTTTGTTTATTAGCATATTTACAAATCGCCCGCTAACTGACTTTTTCTTTCTTTCATTTTAAGAAATTGACTACACATTCGCTTTTTTATGCAATTTCTTTTCAAAACATTTTAAAACAGATTTTTTTTTTTCTTGGAAGCAGTTTTATTGTTTAAATCATATGTTACAAAACTGAAATATGATTTAATCAAGCCTAGACATTTCTTAAAATAAATCAGTTTGTCTGTGGGCTAAATTCAACCATCGCCGCACTAAAATCAAACAAATCAACAGTTTGGTGATAAAACCAAAAATTGATTAAACTAAACACGACCTAATTATGATTTTAAAATATTTTATTATGTTCCACACTAAAAAATATTTAAAATGTAACCTTTCGCAGTTCTTTTGATTTTATCTGCTTTTTTTTTTTTTTTTTCATATAGTTGAATTTTTAATTTTTTTTTAATGTTCAAGTATGTAAGTGTATAATTGATTCATTCAGTTACAACAAAAAGGTATTTAATACATTTTTTTTTGTTTTGATGATGAAAATTTAACTTGCTAGTAGATTTCTCTCTAAATATTTTTAAGTTAAACACGTGAGATGCCAAGACGAAAATAAAAGAGCGAAGGTTTTTAAATACTTTTTCTGTTTTTAACTTTTCAAAAAGTATTTTTTTTTTTTTGCTTTCTTTTTGTTTTTACTTTTTTCTTTCTATGCTCTTCTTCTTCACTTCATTCATTCTCTCGTTTGTTATTGGAGAAAATAAAATAAATTATATTCACTAGAATAGATTGATTGAGGTAAGAAAAGATAATTGAATATTGCATTGCTAGTATATGGCAAAAATAAAACTTTGGTGAGATATTTCATTTATTTTTATTTTATTTATTTTTCGGTATAAAAGAGAAATTTAACATGATTTTTTTTTATTTTAGCTTTCTCATTTTTTTTTTTCTCAAGAAGTAATGTAAAAATCTTTTCGGATACCGATCTTCATTATTATTGTCTAAAAACTGTTTTTAAAAAACCGAAAACGTGTTAAAAAATATGAAGAATTGCGCAAATAATGATTTAAAAAAGTTAAAACTTTAAAAAACTAAAGAATTTTAAAATTATGAAATCAATTTTAATAATTTTAAAACTTTGAATTTATTAGTTCTGTAAATATTTCAAAATAAATAGAATATTTTATCTTTAAAAATGTTTTATGTAGTAGTTTTAAGATAAGTTTTACTTTTATTTTTAGACATTTTTTTTCACCTGAAGTAATTTTTAATTTTAAGTATTTTTAGCTCTATGTTGTACACTTGCAAAGACAAATCATCCGCTATAGTTGGATTTTAATATCTGCACTTAGTGTTTTCTTTTGTGCATCTAACATTTTCTTTACAGTTCTTGTTACTAAAAACTTAAGTAAAAAAAACTAGCAGAGAATGGAGTTTAAAAAATGTCAATGCTTTTAGCTGAAGTAATCAATAAAGGGAGATAATCATCTTTTACATTTTGCACTAAGTCTTCAGAAAAATGTACTTAACAATTGTCAATTGATTGGGAACACGTTCAATGTGTAACGTTACAAAAACTAGATATTTTCTCTCTGAACAGTTTTAAAATTGAAAAGGAATGTGCAGTAATAAGTGAACATCTGAAGAAGAATGCTTATTTTATTGATAAATAAAAGAAAAAAAAAGAGACCCTCAATTTTTATTTAATTAAAGTATGTATTACTTTTATTGGCCTGTCTATGCATTTTTAAGAAATCTTCATAAAGAAAATGTGTTCCCCAGCAAGAATCGAATCTGCATTCCCTTTTGTAGGGGAAACCACCGTTTGATTTGGCGTGCTACAAAAAACATCAAAGCAAGCAAAGTTCTTGCAGGTTCGATCCCTGCTAAGGAACGAATTCTTTACTAAGATTTTTCAAATGTGAAGGCTGATAAACATAATACACAGTTTAATAAAATAAAAATTGACTGTCTATTTCAAATAAAAATATCCTATATATAATAATGTTTGAAGGAATAAAAAATATCAGATTAAACAAAAATTCAATAATTAATTCGTTAGAAATTGCTATTATTAAAATAAAAACATTTTCTAAATTTCTAGTGAAAATGTTACCAGAACCTGATATTTTTTTGTTTTTCAAAGCTTACTTTAGTTCAACACAGGAATGAATGAAATGAGTTGGAATATTGTGGGGAGAGCCTGACAGACTTGAAAATCAGCATTTGAAATC